GAATTTCTGTCGTCTGTTTAATTTTTCGTTTTTAAAAAATTTTGCAAAAAAGAATTCAATTTCCTAAATTCAGTTTTTTTTTAATTTTTTTTTTCTTTTTTTTTTTTTTTTGTTCATTCTGTTTAAAATATTCAGAGTATTTTTGTTTATCAGTGTCAAGTGTTAATTCAGTGTTATTTAAATCTGTTTGCTTGTAAAAGTCAGTGTCTTGTGGTCATCCAAATTCGGAAAAAAAAGAAGGAAAATCCAGATTTAAAAGCAAAAAAAAAAGTATTTTTTTTTCATTTTTCGTCAAAGTTTTTTTGTTGTGAAATTAATATTAAATAAAATCAAGTTATTTCATGCAGTTAAGAGGAGGAGAGGATGAGGCAAGAACCAAAAGAATTATCGTTCAGGGAAAAAAGAATTATCGTGCACAAAAGTCAAATCAAATCAAATGATAAAATGAAAAAAAAGAAAACAAAATTTGTTTGTTTGTAATGTCATCATGTTTGTGATGTTATTGGTTTGTTGTTTTCGTTGTTGTTTTCGTTGTTACATTGTCATTATTTTGATGAATTTTATAAATGTTCTTTGAATTTCTCCTAAAGGTAAATGTAAACATGCATTTAGGTAATTGGTATGTGTGTGTGTGTGTGGGTGTGTGTGGGTGTATAGTGTTAATTGGTAAATTTTTCAGTTAATTTTGGTAACAATTTTTTTTTCTTTCTTCTTTTTTTTAAAATAATTATAATTATAATAATAATATCAATATAATTAATAATATAATCTGAAATTTGATAAAATCTTTTAATTTCTTGTAATTTCTTCTTTTTTTATTTATTACTGCATTGATGATGGATCCATTTTTAAAATCGGCAAATAATAATAATGATGATTGAGAATTTTTAAAAAAAAAATCGGCAAATCAATCAATCAATCAATCAATCATTGATGGTGATGATTGATGATTTTCTGATAAAAAATAAAATCTTATTTGGCCGATGTTGATGATGATGATGTTGTTGTTGTTGCTGCTGTATTACCATTATTACGAGATGATGATGATGATTCTTGTTGTTGTTGTTGAGATTTACTTGATGATTTGGTACCCGTAGTTGTTGTTGCTGTTTTTTCGGAAGCAGAAATACCACTTTCATCGCCACCACTTATTGCTACACCTGATGTAGAAGAGGTGGCTGTTGTTGTTGTTGTATTGGCAGTATTTCCACCACCACCACCACCACCACTACTACTATTATTTGGATTCATTTTATCAACATAATCAGCAAATATGTCACGAAAACGTGCCCATGATCTTTCAGGTATAGTAATCGATGATCGTGTACTACTTTTTACCTATTAGAAATTTCAAAATTATTAGATTTTTTTTCGAAATTTGTCAATTTTAATTACCTCAGATATACGCATAAAAACACCAATCTTATTCTGTCCAATGTCAAAATAGAATTTTTTATTTTCAACACGAAAATTCGTTCCTTCCGGCAATGTATCTCGAAATCCTATTTCAAAAGAAACGTAAAAAAATTGAACATTTTAAAAACATTTTTAAAAATTCATTTTCAACCAACCTCCTTCTTCGGTACCAAATTCATCAAGTAGATCGGTAAGGGCATCACGAAATTCAATCATTCCTTGTGCTGGAATAGCAATCTGTGTTCGTGTTCCACCATGTGTAAATGATTGTGAAACCTGATTGAGAAACAATGACAAAATGTCAATAAAAAAAACATAATTTGAATCAACGTCATACCCTTAGAAAACGACCACGAGTATTTTCTTTAAGATCAAGAAAATATCTTCTATTATCTTTGATAATTATTTCTGATTTAATTTTGCCATCTTCCGGATAATTGTCAAGATTTGGTGGACCTATCGATGATGATGATGAACCTAATATTAGTTTATTATATATGGGATTTTTTTGTTTGATTTGTTGCCAAACAAAGATGTCGTCATCATTATCAACATCATTTGATCACAACAATCTTACCTAATGATGCATAGAGTTCGGAAAAAGTTGTTAAATGATCACGAAATTCACGTGATGCAGCCATCGATAATAATAATCGGCTTTTACGGCCAGCACTGCCAACCTATGAGAAACAAAAAAAAAATGATTAAATGATCCAATTTTACAATGGTCAACAATTCTTTACCTCAGCAACTTTGATAAATCTACCACGATGATTTTGTTTAACATCCAAATAGAATCGTTTATGTTGAATATACAATGTTTTTGTAGCCAATTCTTGTTCATTTTGTTGGGCTGGTTGTTCACCGCCTGCTGATGATACTAAAATAAATACAAAGAATTTTTGATTTAAAAAAAAAATTGTATATATTTGGTCAAATAAAATAATTTTTTGAAAATTTCGCGCCATAACATTTTAAGAATCCTATTCGAATATATGTTTGAATATTGAATTTATATCGATACTATCGATATTCAACGAGCAGGCGTCATTCGGGGCATCACTATGGTTTTTTTTTCATTTCTTTTTTTTTTTTTGCTTATTTGTTTTGTTTGGAACACAATCCTGGAACTCAGAATTATTCTAGGTAAAAATATTTTTTTTTTTGTTGACTAATTGAAAATCCTGGAAATGTGTTTCTAAAATTGTTGCTATCCATAAATGTTTATAATGAAAAAATGAAAAATTTAAAACAAAAAGAAAAAAAAAGAATAAGAACCATTACTAGATTCTGTTTGATGAGAATCTTCTCCACTTCGATCGTCCGACATTTTTATTGTTGTTTATGTTGTTTTTTGTAGCTAAAATAGGTTGATGAACACACACACAATTATGCTTTGATTTTTGCTTTGTTGAGCTTGATTTGATGATCAAAAAGAATCTTATCGGAATATCTTATAGATATTTTGGCTTCAACACAAAACACAGAATTTTCGTTCTTCTTTTTTTTTAATTCTTTGAAAAAAATAATAATAATATCGATAGTATCGAACGATTATGATCAAAAAAAAACAACCAAACAATAATAATAATTTCTGATTTTTTTCTTTTTTTTTAATTTATAAAATCAACAATATCACTATGACGATAATGATGAATGATGATCCAAACACAAACAACAAGAATCTTTTTGGTCCTAAAGGAAATTTTTCAAAAACAAAATCATCAATAAAAAAAAAGGATTGACAAATAATCGATTGTTTCTTACCCAAATTTGTCACCTTTTTTTCTAAAGAAATATTTACACTTTTTAACCAATAAGCATCAAACACACCAAACCAAACCTCGTTATTACATAAGCCGGTTACACAACAACAACAACAAATACAACACACGTTGGTTGGTTGGTTGGTTATTCCGTTCGAATAATTCGATTTAATCGAATTAATAGACGACAACGACAATAACTTTCACGACCTTTCAACCTAAACACAAACAAACAACACACACTCACCACACAATCCAAAATTCTTCTATAATATTTTCGTTTCGTTTTTTTTGTTGTTGTTCACCCGGATTTATCTTCAATCCAAAACAAACACACAAACACAACACTCACTCACACAACAAACAAACACAACAAACATTTACATTACGTTACATTACACCGCAACATACATACACACACACACCAGACAACAACAACAACAATATCCAAAAACACACCGACCGAACGATCAAAAAAAAAAAAAAAATCTTTCAAAAAAAAAACATATCAAAGGACAGCCCTCACCCCATTCACATTAA